CAGCCTGGTTGACCCCCAATCTTCCCAACGCCCCCCAACTCCTCCTGTCTCAACTTACCTTAGATCAAGTGGCCATTTTTAACTCAATCTAGCCTCCCCCTAACCTCCCTGAATTTCTGCACGCAGCCTATGTTATCATTTATTTTAGTTGCTATTCTAGAAACTCCGATTGGGTTATTTCTATATTCTGGTTACCCCAGCTATATAACAGCCCTTTGGTCGTAATAGTGTGAAGGCAGCTCTGATTTTTATCAGAAATAGATTGATGCCAGGACAACTTCAAGACTGACTTCATAGTAGTTTAATACTACATTTATGTACCAGCTCCCAAATTATGTCAAGCAGTCAGCTGTAGCCACAATCTTTCCCAGGAATTTATTTTATTTTTCTCTTTAGTGCATGTTTCTAGCCATGCCTCCACTTCTGTTTACTGCATGGGTAACTCCACCATTGTCACTTAACTGAGTGACATGGCATGCATTACCTTATGCTGCTCATTGACTAAACAATTTTTTGCAGATCTTAGTTCTTTCCACACCTTTTTACTACAAAAGAGGAGCATATGGTTAATTAATTGTGAGCCCATAAATCATTCTGTTCATGAATCTAGATTAATATTTTAAAGGAAAAACTTCCCATAGATTTCGGCTTAAAGAATGGAATCCTCCATTGATGCAATAATGATTTCAGTGGAGCTATACCACTTTTCACCAACTGAAGATCTGACTCTATATACGGTTTAGTATCAGCTTGGCAATCTGAATTTCGAGTGTTTGCCAAGCTGCATAATAAAAGTTGGTGTTACCAGATCCTACTGTCAAACTGTCACAAAAAAGTATGAAACACATCGTGTGAACAAATTAGGACTTTGCTCCATAATGTGTTGATATGCAGAACTGACACTAAATTAAATGCATCTTAAAAATGAAAGAATGTGGTATTTGAGATTACCTATAATTTTAGCTCCTTGATTTGCATTGAGAAAAAAATTTTAAAAGCCCTCATCCACTGAAATGTTAGTGTATGCAACTTGAGAACACATTCATCCTGGCGGATCTTAGAAGGAAACTGCTGGAATGAAATGGGGAAAAAAAGATAATTCTCCTTTTGTTCTTTTTTGAGAGTTCTTATTTTCCTGTATTCTGGGCTGTCTCTATAAAAGATTGATGTCTGGTGTCACTGCTAGGAAGTGCAAACTGTTCAGCTTCACTGCAATCTATGGCCTCATCCTCCTGCTCTGCAGGATACCACATACTTTGGCAGCTGATATTCAGATGGGAAGCACTTTAATGGTAAGAATGAATGCCAGTGAAACCTTTTCCCACAATGTTTAAAACTCTGCATACATTAAAGCAACATAAAACTAGGATTTGTTAAGAAGAACACAGTATCTGATATAAACTCAGGTGCGTTACTATTACTTTTCTGCTCCTCAAAATAATATGTTGAAAGAATGGCAAACTGGAATAAATAATAGTGCATGAACACAATAACACAATAAGAAATATCTCCCTGGGGTAATATCTTGGGTTCTTCATACGGTTTTTATCTGGTATATCAAATTCCAACATAATTTTTCATCTTTCTGTAAAAGATGCAATAAGACTGTGCCCTGATTAACCAGAAGTAACTACATGAAGGTCAACAGAGTTACAATAGTATGAGACGAGAATCAGAGCTGTTGAAGTTTCTCTTTGGGAGTATTCTGAGTGATGTATTAAGTCAAGTCTCTGTCTCACATGTAGGTAGGCAAACAGGCCATAAGTTCAAAGAAGCCAGAAAAAATTCTAAAAACCCCAGCCTATCGATTCCAGAACAGAATTTGAAAAAGCAGGTGTTCACTCATTTTTTAGCCAATGTTTCATCCGCCACTTCTATTATCCAACTTGGTTTTCAATATGTTGGATGATTCCCCCACTCTGGGATGACACAAATCATATTAACCCTTTATGTTTACTTCATATTAACCCTTTATGTTTACAAAAAAAGTTCAAGAGACATTTCAGGTAGACAGAAATATGGGATAGAACTGAAGGCCCAGCCCTGCATTGGGATTAACGGTTGCAGACCCCTGTGATGTTCAGGCCTATTATCTGCAAGACTCTCTGGGGCCTGCTCTAACAATAAAGTGGAAGGGGAGAAAAAACACACTTTTGAGGTAAATTATGAAGATTCAAAGATACCATTGGTTTCAGTGAGACTCTTTATGAGCACAGAATTTGGGTCTTAGTCAACATTCCATGTTCACTCCTGGGTCTTATGTCCTGATCACACGTTTAAAACATCTTACATTGTGAGTGGACTTAAAGTCACCTTCCATTAAAGTAAAATGCTCTTTTAAAGAATGAAACAAAAGCCTGCTTCATCTATTTTGCATATAAGTGGTACATTGTGTTCTAAGTAGTACATTGGGATCTAAGTGTGAACTTAATTCTACCAGTGCTAGCATTCCTCAATAGTTATTAACACAAACCTTGTCACTTCTGTAACTGTCTTAAGGTTAAGATGACAATATGGAATAGAGCAGAGTGAAATAGAATCACACAGACATATAGGGCATGTCTATATTGTAGCAGCAGCATTTTTCAGCCAGAGAACTCCCAAACATGCCCAAGATACCCTGCCTAACTAGGAAATACACAATGAGGATGCTCTCAGTAGGCACCTGTACACATGCCTGACAGCTCTTCTGACTTGTTCTAATTAGCTTTAGTTAAAGCACCTTTGTCACCATTTTGAAGCACAGGGTGCTGAAAACATGAGATGCTGTGGGCACTTTAATTAGAGCAGCTCCCAAGACCTGCTCTAATTAAAGGGTCCCTCCCCCGCATTGCATGTGTAAATATGGCCAAGAGACCACAACGGGCCTCAGAGGAATGGCCTCCTCACTATATTTCTGTTTGGAATGTGTTTAGATTGGGAGTGCATGGCTTGGGTACATTTGAGGGCAACCTGACTGAAACAGTGCTGTCACAATATCGACAAACCCTTCTCCAAAAAGGGTCTGCAGGCTCCTTGTAATGACTAAGCAGGTAGTCCATTTTATTTAACAAAAATTAAGGCAGTATTTTAATATAAATGCATTTTAAATAATGAAAACAACATATTTCTTACTATCACATCTCCATTAAATCAACATAAAAAAAACTATTTTAGCAAAATTATATATTCAATTTCAAGCCTATTGAAATTTTTATATTTGTAAAACACAGAAAAAGCCTGCCAAACTCTGAAGTGCAGCATCATATTTCTGAATTCTGAGTTCTCTCTGCAGAACTGATCCAAAGCCTACTGCCTTCAGAAGGCTTTGGAACAAGCTCAATATAGATAACCCAATCCAAAACAAAAGAAATTTAAGTTACCAAACTCAAAAGTTACAGTCATTTAATCAGATTTACTGCAAAGGTTCAAAGTCACCTAAATTATTTATGCATACATTCTGCAAGTGTCACATAAATAAAATAAAAGCAATTAAATAAAACAAAGGAGAAATAAAATCAAATGAGAAATATGCTAAAATAAAATGTGAGAAATAAAACAATTCTGCATTATCCAGTAGCCAGATGAACACTTTTATAGTACACAACATGAAAATAACAAGTATGTGCCAAAGATATCTCTAATAAAGATAGTTATTATCAGTTACCATTTTCTTCTCCTGCTCAAGACCACAGCTATAGATCTTCTGTGTCATTCATACAGCTGCTAACTTCTGCTTCTTTCATTCAACAAATTAACTCTATATCAGTAGCAATGTAACTAACTACTACATGAGATTATCAGACATGGCATTGAAAGTTATATAGAAAAATAGATCAGATAAATGAGGAACGGTGAGTACACAGTACAGGCAACCCCCGCTTAAATAGTGCTGTTTCACTATAATGCTTATTTTAACTTGATACCTGATTTCACTTAGCACTCAGGGAGTTTTATTATAACACTCTTGGTCGCCATGGAGTTGGGTCATTAAAAACACTTGCGGTTACCATCTTAGATCCTCAAATACTTTCCGTTTCACTCAATGCTCGTTTTGCTTAACGCTCGGTTTTTCAGGAACCAATTAAGAGTGCTAAGTGGAGGTTGCCCGTACAAAATTGAAGGGGAGGATGAAAAATAATGGCAAATGTTATACTCACCCTTGTACTCCCCTAACACTGGATCTAATAGATACAGCCATTCCTCAGTTGTACGAGACAGTTAACTTGCTGCTCCTAATGGGCCGAAATAATACTCAAGCCTCCATAGAGCTTAGGATCTATCCATATTCCCTCCTCTCAGACATTATCCCCTATAGCTGCAGGGAGTGGCATAGGATACTCCACACCAAATTGCTTCTACTCTATCCATTTACATGGGTAGTTTTCACCCCACTATAACCCACACACCCATATAGTTATGCCAGGATAATAGTGTTAGTCAGAATTGAGTACTATAAAGCATAAATTAGCATATTACATCAGAGGGGCTGCCTCAATAAATTTTACTTGATTTGGGACCCTCTATAGAAGACATGGAGAAGTGGAAAACCATGGAGTTAGGTTCTTAGTTGAAAAAGAATAATGAGTGCAAGCAGCTAAATTGGTAAAAGAGTTCTGGAACATGTTTCAGGAGGCCTTGGGGAAGCTAGAAGTGTCATGCATCACCTAGAAATGCCATCAGGCCAGGTAGTGAGGAAAACCTAGAAAAAAATCCTGCAACAGCTACATGGCAAGGTAAGAGCTGAAGTCAAAACCATGTTGAAGAAGGGCATAGTCAAAGAACTGCATAGCAAACAGCAAAGTCCAACAGTCATAGTCCCAAAACCACATGGACACATTTACCTGTGTATAGACTTTAAAAAGGTGAATGCGTTGTTAAAATCCAATGCCCAGGACTGATGAGATGATAGAAAGGACAGGACAAGCCAGCTACCTTTCAACATTAGACATGACAAAAGGTTATTCGTAAGTACCCTTGGCACCAGAGGATCAAAAGAAGATGGTGTTTGCCACACCCTGAGGCCTATATCAATTCAATCGGATGACATTTGGATTGAACAAAGCTACTGCTATCTTTTAGCAGACAATGGACAGGTTATTAAGGTCTCACTGTAACTATGCAGCCATGTATATTGACAATATAACTGTGTATACCTCAAGTTGGAACAACCATCAGGAAGTCCTTCAGGTCCTCCAGTAGTTAAGAAAGGCAGGACTCATGGCCAACTCATGAAAGTGTCTAATTGGTAAAGCAGAGATGTGCTACTTGGGGTTCCAGGTTGGCAGCAGGAAGATGAGATCCCTGTTAGACAAAGTTGGAGCCCTCTGAACTCACCCTCTACCCCAAACAAAGAAACAGACAAGAGCATTTTTGGGACTGGCCAGTTATTATTGAAGGTTTGTCTCTAATTTTGCAGAAGTGACAGTACCATTGACTGAAATGACATGAGCAGGGCCACCAACCAAAGTTGTCTGGATGTCAGAGACATAAAGAGCCTTCCAAAAGGTGAAAGAAGCTCTGTGTTTGTTGCCCTCTCTATATACTCCTGATTCGGATAAGCCCCTTCTGGTACAGACCAGAGAAAGCAACTGGAGTAGTCTTGACCCATAAAGAAGGAAGGGAAGAGAAGCAAATAGCATATATCAGTCAGAAGTTGCATGAAAAAGCCTATGCTACAATAGAAAGAGGATGTTTAGCCCTGAAATAGGCAGCAGAGATGCTGAGATACTATTTGTTGGATAGGTGCTTTACAGTAGTGACCAACCACATACCTCTACAGTGGCTCCAGTGAATGAAAACATAACAGTTGGCTTACTTGGTATTTGAGCCTCCAACCTTATTGATCTGAGGTGAAACAGACTGGGAGGAGAGAATGCAAACACTGATTTCTTTTCTAGAAAGTATTAAGAAAGGAAGAAGAGACTGGTGTGGGACAGGGTGGCTCCATGTCTTCCAGGTTCTGGAAGCCCTGAGTGGATTGACCTTGCCAACAAGGATGACCCACAATGTGGAAAAAGAAAGAGGTGACAGGTCAGAGGACAGCAGGTAGACCCAGAGGTGCTGCAGGCCGGTGAGAACAACGAAAGCAGTAGAGGGGAGTTGCTGGAAGAAAGAGACCACAAGGCAGAGGGACAAAGACTGTTAAAGGTAGGGTACTCTCTTTCAGCCAGTTTGACTAACTAACTGCTAAAACCTTGGTAGGAGTAGGACAAAATATAGGAGGTAGCTGCCTGGGTTTCAGCTGATTTCCTGTATTTCAGCTGATTTCCTGTGTTGTTAAATTTTTGAACAGTGACATTGGGACTGAAAGGGCAGGCTCCTAAAGGGAGAAGCCTGAACTCAGTTGTAACTGGGAGATTGATAAGACACTTGTGGGAGCAACTCTGAAGCTTTAAAGGAGAAAAGACCCAGTACTTGTACATGTTTCTAATTCAAGAATTCTCTGTTCTTGTCAGGGTGTGGCATACGTAAACCTAAAGACAGTGCAGGGTTAAGGGTAGATCGAAAAGTGACTCCTCTTAACTTGCAGGGCCCAGAGCCTACAGCATGAAAAGTTACAAGGGGGGGGAGCTATTACAGATGCATTAAAATGCCATACAACAGCCCAATGATATCATAAATGTAAAGATAGCTGTTTTGTCACTTTGAGATCACTGGCTAAAATACACTGAAAAACAAAAGAACTGTCCTAATAAAACCTCCTGTTGCCTTCTTTAGGTGGGGCATACCAATTGTAACTTCAGTGTATAAAAGATATTTGTTAATCTTGTAAAGCCCAAAAGTCTTGTCTATTACATAAAAAAAAAACAAGAAACAAAATCTCTCTCTCATTGACAGTTTTTTGTTTTAATAAGAAATATGCATACGTGTATTTAAAATGTACTACCCTATTAAACTAGTAAGAGTGCCAGGATTTTTCTATGGATCGCAGCATCTATCATCTGTACTTAGATCACAGGATTTCTCATGGTTTAAGATAAGCAGTTAGTCCACATTCACCACAGGGACATTAAAAGTAATGACTGGATTGATAAAGATCTCAATCCTGTGTTTCTTTTAGACCACAGACTATCATAAATGCTGTAATTTACAGCTCCTGTGCCAGCATAACTGAGTCTGGACCTTTGTCTTAATACAGCACTATCCTTTATTTTACATGCAAATCTTATAAAAAAAAGATTCACGCTTAAAGAGAAGTGAACTTTCTGTCCCAATATGTTTTGAACAGGAGAATAAAAAAAAAAATAGGCCATAATAACAGAAGAGGAAACCACTCAGTCTTTCAGGACTGGGTCTTACATCACCATTTAAAAACCCATTTGGGAGTCCTGGTATGTGGCCAAAAAGATGCAACATGGTCTAGTAAGATAAGGAACACTCAAAATTTCATTCTGATGCAAGATGAACTACGCCTTTAGGGAAAAGAGTAAAACCTCCCTTTGCTTCAATTTGAAAAATTAGAATATTATTTATTTCACAAGTGTAGGTTATGCTGTTCATGGAGCAATTTGACAATAAGGACTTTCAAAATATATCCTTATTGTGGGTCACAGTAAAACAAGAAACACTGTTACCTTGAAAAAGGTGAAGCAGAGAGGAATAAACAAGTGGGTTTATTGGCTAAACAGGTGAGTTTATTGATACAGTACGTAACTATTTTTATGTATACCTTGAAAAAAATCAACAAAACAATAAATTTTGCATACTGTGCATACTAGTCTATGCAATCATATGCTCTGATAATTTTTAATCTTGTTTTACCAATTCATAGATGTTAGGGTCAGAAGGGACCTCAGTAGATCATCGAGTCCAACTCCCTGCCCTGGGCAGGAAAGAGCGCTGGGGTCAGATGACCCCAGCCAGATGCCTGTCTAGTCTCCTCTTAAAGACCCCCAAGGTAGGGGAGAGTACCACCTCCCTTGGAAGCCCATTCCAGATCTTGGCAACCCTTACCATAAAGAAGTACTTTCTGATATCTAACCTAAATCTGCTCTCCATCAGTTTGTGGCCATTGTTCCTAGTGACTCCAAGGGGTGCCCTGGTGAACAGAGCATCCCCTATTCCAGGGGCAGGTAATTATTTTGGGTGGAGGGCCACTTACCCACACACACACACAAAACATCTACTATAACTTATTTTAATTTTATTTTAAAATATATTTATACTGATTTCTGTGTTTACAAAAAGTGTATCTAGAGGTGGCTGCATAATAGCTCAAAATACAAACCTACACTGTGTTTTGTATGGGCAATAAGGGAGTGTAAGTGGTGGGGTATAGTTGGGAAGGGGGAGAGAGAGAGAGAGTATGTGTGTGTGTGCACACGCACACGCAGTGGGGTATAGGTATGGTGGCTGGGTGTAGGGTTATGTGGTTGAGATGGGGGCTGTAGGAGAGTGTGGGGTTATGGTGGGTGGGGGAGAGAGAGAGCCGGGGCCAGGCTGCCAGCTCCATAGCATGCAGCTCTAGCAGACTGCATGTGAGCGTCACCCAATGCAGCCAGGCAGACCACCTGCCCAGGCTCTGTGCTTCTGCAACCCCAGCCTGGGTCCCTGCTCGTCCCTGGACAGTTGCACGGGCTCCGTATTGCCACCCAACACTGCCTTTCCCTCCAGTC